GGGGGGCTGGCTGGCCGCCGGGGCGGCATCGGCCCCAGCCGCCTCCTCACAGGGGGAGGGGGGCTGGCAGTGTCCCCTGCCGGGCACCTCAGCAGAACCCGTTAAACCGGTTCTGGTACTGACCAAAACAAAAGGAGTTTAAGACCCGCCTATTGCTGGGGGGTATATAAACCAGAAACAAGAACTGTTAGGTGTGCGTCTTGGTAGAGCAGAGGCTGCCGGCGCACCCAGCGCTGCTTGCTTGCTTTTATTCGTTTAATAAATTGTTAATTTTGATTGAAACCCTATTTGGGACTCGGTCATTTATCACAATAAAGAAATTAACTTCCCCTCTGGCCTGCAGGCCTGATCACAACCACCTAACCCCCCATAGTATAGCACAAGCAAGGGGGCAACTTTGCTTTTATTATGTGATCTAGTCAATCCTGACTGGATGTTCCTAGAAATTGTCTTGTCTGTGTTGCAGGCTTTGAATGGACAGACCATAACTCTAAAGGGCTGATCCGCACACACTGCTGAATTTTAACTCACAGCTGTAGGGTTGGAAGCAAAAATTACTGTATTTGGATGCCTCATCCTGACACATTTGGCCTGATCCTTACTCAGCCCCTACTCAGGGAAACCCTCTGGAGCTCAGCACAGCAGGACTTTCTCCCATCCTGCTTTCTTGTGCTGGCAAGAAGCAAGAGTCACCTTCCATTGTGGCCTCTCTGAAAACACCTGCATTAAATTATAAACCAGATTCTCTCTGCAGCTTTGGAAATGTTTCCTACAGCTGTTTGAGACCTGGCTGGCACTGACTGGAAATGCTCTGTCTACTGCTATGGCTCAGCCTGTTGTGTTGCTCCTACCTGTCCAGTCCACATGGCATGAGGAGCTGCTCAGCTCTTGAGAGGTTTGGCTTAACCACCATGTGTGCAGGTGACACCCGGGGTGGTGGTGAGCTCAGCACCCATAGAAAGGGAGTCTGCACACACACTACATTCACATGGATACACATATTCAAACTCCACGTTGAAACAGCCTGAGAAGGCCTCAGCATGGCTGTCCACCTGGCTCACCAGACCTCAGAGCCAGCTAGCACCTCCATTTTGTGCCTCACAGGAAGACAGGAGGCAGCTCCCTCCATTTTCTGCCTCCTTTCTCTCACAAGAAGCAGCCCCTTCCATTTTGTGCCTTTCCTCCCTCACAAGTAGTAGCCCCCTTCATTTTGTGCCTCCCCTCCCTCCGAGGAGGCAGTCCCCTCCATTTTGTGCCTCCCCTCCCTCACAAGAAACAGCCCCCTCCATTTTGTGCCTCCCCTCCCTCACAAGAAACAGCCCCCTCCATTTTGTGCCTCCCCTCCCTCACAAGAAACAGCCCCCTCCATTTTGTGCCTTCCTTGCCTCACAGGAGGCAACCCACCCCCTCCTTTTTGTGCCTCCCTTCCCTCGCAGGAGGCAGCTGCTTCCCTCAGGCCAGGAACCAGGAGGGTTTGCAGCCATGGCATGGCAGTAGTGATGTGAGAGAGCTGCACACTGACTCTACCAGCCCAGGGGGAAATCGTGGTCATCTCTCTCATGCTTACACCAGTCGCTGTCTGCGTACAGACATTAAATATTAAATTACTGCAGTCTTATAGCATCTCTGTTCCACACAGTGCTCCTGCAGCACTGAATTGGGTTCTCAAGTAAGCCATCAACTGCTGAGGCTGATGAGGACTATCCAGAATGGCACTGCTAGCACAGGAAGTAAATATAAACTAAGAATGATGATAGGAACTGAAATAATAACAAAAGTGAAAAATTAAAAACTCAAGAAGTACTGTATTCTTTCAGATTTAATCTGGTATGACTTCAAGACAGCTTACCAGTACATTTTTCTAAATGACCTGGTGGAATGAGATGTATCTTTTATATCTTAACTAGGTGTTTATTTAAGCAATTATGTAACTTACTCTCCTATAGAGAAGCAAAGTGATACTTCTCTTACATGTAGCTGTTTTTACTTATAATTTAGTTCACAGTGGATTTTGATTAAAATTTGAACTGAAAAGTAACAGAAAAGCTTCTTGAGTATTTTATTAGTTAAATGCCACTATCTTAAATGTGCTAGACAGAAAACCGGAAAAATAATCAGAGTAAATGTAATGCGTCTATTTATGGAGAAAGGATTACCTGCACTAAGTGATGCTGGATGACATTTCCTTCAACATATTCAAACGTGTAGATCTCATCTTTCAAATTTCGGATTTTACCTCTAAAAATAAAGCGTTTCTACTTCTTTTCAGCTGCCTGGCAGCTTTGATCGAATCAGAAGGGAACTGAACTGCGCTGTGCTTGCTCTTCAGAAAAGGGGTGTTACGGCCAAACGGTGATTTGGCACTGCAGCACCCGCCGGTCGCACTCTCCGCCTGCGGAGGGGCTGCCCGGTAGGGCCTGCGCTGGGGAGCTCCAGCAGGGCTCACGGATCACTGGCCAGGCACAACCTCTTGCTGAGGGA